TTTTTTAAACAGGCGGGACCTTACGGTCCTGGCTCCTTCTATTCTGGGGAGCATCAGTCCGGTTCCTATTCCACCGGCAAGTCAAAATAGAAAATTACAACAAGTGTATACACCCCCATTCCTTCCGTCCGGCCGAAGGATCCCTGGGCAGCATTGATTACTCCACCACAGTGGAGGATTGACTGCCAGCTTGCCCATCCTCTCCCTTTCCTCTCAGACCAGACAAAATGGTCTGTCTGATTTCATCGCTAAATCCTGGAAAGAGACCCTCTATTGAGATCATCCCCCCGAGCCCTTCCCGTTCCACCTGTTTTTCTTTTTACCTCAGCAACCCTTAAACCCTGAACCCTAAACCCTCATCCTTCTTAACTGCTCCCTGATATAGCATTCCCATTCAAGGATCGCCTTCCCCTTTGGTCCGGGACTGTTTGTTTTGCCCCTTTTGCTTCCCTTATTCGCCTGCGTTGCCAGCTTACATCCTGGTCCCCTCCGCTGTAGACCAWGAGCGATCTGTAACGTGGGTTCTGCTCCCTGCTGCAATGCTTTGTTGTACCAGCTTTCTTCTTGAAACCGAGTTGTGTCGCTTCTGCCTCCTGATGGAATCATTCCTCCTCTTRGCAGCCCTCCCCCCTACTATCCATGACTTGATGAACTTGTCTCTAGCCTTCTTCCGCTACTCATCGTTGTCTGTCCCTTTTCCCTTGAAGTTCTTCCGTCTGCATAGAATTTCTTCCTGCATCCAATCCTTAGTCTCTCCCCAGACTCTCTCCCGTGCGGTTACAGCCTTTACAATCATTCTGCCACGTCTTATCTTCCATATGCCTCAAGGGACGTTTTACTGGAGAACTCTAACCAGATCGTATAATGCTTTCCGAGGCCACTAAGGGATGACAATCAAAAGAGAAGTTAGTTTTTCTCTCTTTCCTTTAGCCCTSCTCCCTTTCTGCTCCCTGATATCCTCGTCCCTCCTCTCTCCATTTGAAACAAAGCTGTACACCTCTGGGCTCTGCTACTATCCCCTGACCCAAAATATTCTGTTTAAATTTTTTGATTATTTCCTCCTCTTGCCCAGGTTGTTGTCTCGCTTGCTGTCTCACTCTTTTCCACTGTGCGTTGAGATGTGATTCCACTGTATTGAGGAGCAGCTCCCTAGCTTCCTCCCTATGAGTTAGTGTTCCTTCCATGGTTGCCTGACATCTTCTTTTCCAGACGGTCCACAGTCCGTATTGTCTCAGCAGTTGAAAGATGTGCCTTTGGTAGGGTTGCCAACCTTTGGGAATCCCGACCCCCAAGAGGATGGTTATCTTTGACTCTGGAAAAGCTATCGTCACTACCTGCTTCCAGATCCCCTTAACTTGTTCCCACATTTCTTCTGCCTCCTTACATTCCAGTAGACAATGCACCAAAGTTTCTGGATGCCCCTCTTGGCACACCCTGCAAAGCTCCGCTTCCTCATTCCTCTGATTGTGACTTCTTCTTTCGTTGAGCCACACATTCACTGGTAATGCCACGTGCGCTATTAGCCATTGCATACTTCTAACCTGGCCCAGTCTGATAGCTAGGATGCTAGACCACGGTATATCAGGTATTTGGCTCCTGGGGATCCCTACTTTATTCTCCCAGCGTTTGGACAGAGTGTGTCCCATGGACCTGGGTCTGTTCCTCAGTCTATACCCCATTTTTGTGGTATATTGAAGAATGTTGATTGTTCTTGCTACTCTTGAGTGTCCATCTCTAATGTTCCAGGCCCATTCTCCAGGATCGACCTCCAGATCTTCGATTGGCACTGTTGAGCTGTATACTGTGTACTCATCCATCTCTATCACTCTTACCTTCTGTAATCCTTGTTTGAGAATATACAATGGTGCTTTAGAGGACTTATCAAGTTGGGAAGTGGTACTGTTTGGCTGTATTATGTCATATTTATCAGCTACTAGCCATTCATTCCTATCTTTGTCCGTGTCCCAAACCCTGAAGACCTGTTTAGGTTCCGGATCATCCTCCCATGTGGCCCAATCCCCCTCTCGCCATTGTATTCCCTCTCTCAGCAATAGTACCCAGGTTGGGTGTATGKAGTCAGTGACTATTCTCAGATTGTCCTGAAGATTGTGGCACCCCTTCAATGCCCTCCTCAGTTCACCTGCTGTTTTCCACCGCTTGTTCTCATCATCCCAAATGTGTTTGATTTGCCATATCCCATGCTCCACCCATCTGCCCCATCTCGAATCCTTGCTCGTAAGTGTTAGGGGCTTTCCGCAGCCGTCCCCTTATGCAAATATTGCAGAAAATCGGTTTTCTTAATACCTCCTCCCTAGTAGTAGGTTCCCTGCCCCTTGCTGGGAAGACCTCCTTCCATAGTTGTATAAGCTGCAGCCAATAGGAGGGGTTTCTGGCCCTCCCACCTTGTGGATCCCTGTTCTCCCTCCTATAGCCCACTTTAGCCCAGCTGCTACACATGATCCAGAACAGCCCCGACATGTTGTCAGGTGTTCTATACATAGCTATCTGCCTGATCCTTATCCAATACTAGGGAAGTCCATGACAACCTGGGCTGTGAGATTAGCTTGACCAACCATTTTGTTTGCAAGGCCTTCAGCTGTAGACTTGGGTCTAGGATGCCTAGGCCA